TGGCGTCCTTGCCGGAGTTCATGTAACCGGTAAGGAAGATGGTGAAACCCTGGGAAGCACGAGGGGGGTTGGATTCACGCAAGATCTTGACAACCTCGGGGTAGGAGAACCACTCGGGGATGTGAGCACCGGTGCGGAGGCGCTTGCGGAGCTCGGTACCGGAGATGTCGAGGGTCTTGACACCAGCGGGGACCTCGTCCTTGGGGCGGTACTCGTCGGTGTCGGGCAGGTAGGTGACCTGCTGGAACTCGACGACCTCAATGCCAAGCTCGTCCTTGTACTTCTCGACGGCGTGCTGAGCATCGTAAGGACCGTAGAACTCCTCACCCTTGGAGTTCTTACCGGGACCGGCGTGGTCACGACCAACGATGAAGTGAGTGGCACCGTGGTTCTTACGGATGATAGCGTGCCAGATGGCCTCACGAGGACCACCCATACGCATAGCCAGACCCAGGAGACCCAGGACAGCCATTCCGTTGGGGTAGCGGGGCAGGAGGGCCTGGTAGGCACGGACACGGGTGAAGTGGTCAATGTCACCGGGCTTGGTGAGACCAACGACGGGGTGGATCAGGACATTGGCCTGACGGGCGCGAGCGGCACGGACGGTCAGCTCACGGTGAGCTCTGTGCATGGGGTTTCTGAGGAACCGTTAGTCGTAAGGTCGCGCGCGCAGCGTAAGGGATGCACTATAACTGGTCTCGGCCACACGTACCTAGTCTGGAAAGCGACAACTCGGGACCAGCCGAGCTTGTCGAAATGGACACGCAATTCCGCGGGAGTGTCTAAATTAGGAGGCCCGCGCGGTCAGTACATGAATCAGGATGCGATCGCAAGGATCGCGCACAGGCAATGACATACAGCGAAGAGCGACATAGTCGTAGTGGTTGAGCTTGTTGACAGCCTCGATCTTTCCACCAATATAGAACTCCTGGACAGTGTTGTTCAGGTACTTAATGGCAGGGTGTTCCGGGTCTCCGCCAAAGACCAGCTTGGCTTCCTTTTGCCTAAATTAGGGGTGAAAAGCACATCGTTAGCCCATCCGCGTCATCGAGACCCACTATATGTAAAATCCCCGACGGCTAGTGAACTCCGCCCGTGGGAAACCAAGGCCGGCGATGCCAAACTCTCGTTTCACGAACGCCCCGTTCAAGTCAGAGATATAGCGATCGCCAAGGTCCCGCGATTCCCATTCGTACGGAAAAATTCACAAGGCAAAGAGGAAAGAGGGGCTCCACTCACTTGTCAGCGCGGTAGATGTCGTCGATGGTCAGGATGGCCAGGTTGCGGTCGTCACGGAAATCGCGCAGGGTGAGACGAGAGCCGGCCTGGAGCTTAAGCTCGTCGATGGTCTTCTGGGAGGCGTCGAGGGTGATGGGCATGGAGAAAACGTTGCCATCGGCAAGACGGCAGTTCTCGCAAACACTGAACGAAAACCGATGTCAGCTAATTGTCCCCCAATACTTTCGCCTGTTGAACAGGTCCTCGTTCTGCAAATCTAGTGTCGCTTCGAGGACTACTGGCGTAAATTGATGGAGTTTGAGGGATCGTAGCATACCCGTCGAAGTCCTTCTGGTTCATGAAGCCTGCGCCCGGAGTTAGCCAAGACTGACGATCTCACCCCGCGACGGTTGCAAGCGGACGGGTAGTCGCGGGCAACCAGGACGGAGAAAGTGGGATGGATGATTGGCAACATACCCTCCAGAGGACTGAAACCACCGTTCATGATGAGCTCCAGATCGCAGAGCTGGCGCTCAGTGAGAGTGAGGGCAGGGAGAGTCTCCGCCTCAGCAGCCAGCTGGTCGTGGCGGGGAGCATCGCGGGCGAGAAGGTCCTTGAGGACACCACCGTGGGGAGAGTTGGCCATTGTGAAAGGATGATGAGGGATGGATTTCCACTCAAGCAAAGATGTGATGAGAAAAGAAAGGAAGGAAAGGAAAGGGTCTGGAGGGTTCCAGAGGATTATAAAGAAGAAAGAGAAGAGTGGAGGGGGGTAGAAGGAAGAAGAATGGAGTTTATGAAGAGTGGAAAAGGGAAAAAAGTTCAGGAAGGGGTCAAGAGGGGAACAGCGGAGCAACCAAGGCAATGATCCAATTCGAGCAATTCAGGAGATTGAGGGACTCCAGCGATGACCAATATGCTTTCTCCAACGACCGTCAAGTTCTCCGTTCCAGCCAAATCAACCATCGGGATCTGTCCTGCGGTCTCGTCGAAAGGTGGTGGAGCTGTCGGACTCTTGGTACGAAGAGTGTCTACGTATGCCTTTGTGTCGTACGTCTGTCTGTCCTTCTTTTCCTTCCCCCCGATGAGGCTGCACACAAGTCGCATTCGCAATTGCTCATCCCCAGCGCGGTGGCGCCATCGCTTGTCTCCAGCATGCTATCCTCATAAGTTCACTATTTTTAGGGCCTTCTAGAAGGGCGGGCGCTTAAGCCGACGCCTCTATTCTATACTTGAACTTGAACTACGTTTGTACTTCCGATGGCGGATGGGCTCTCCTCGGAGATACGGGGCGGCCCTCGTAACCACGGGGGATAATCGCTGCCCCCCCCCATCGTCGTCATCAACCTCATGTTGAAAGCCACATAATTTCCCCCGCTGGGTCTACGGAGCCCAGAACAAGTCATGATTTTCAGGGGGGGCAACAGAATAGTTGCCGTTTAAGTAAAGCACCAGCGTATGCGAGATGTCAATCGCATGCGTGGACATTTCTCAGATAAAAGGTTTCCTCCGATCGTTATTGTAGATGTCAGGCCAGCCGGCAAAACGGTTTTGAAACATACCAGTCAAACACGATTTCCTTGGTCGTCCGCCGCGTTTCAAAAAAAACCGCCGCCGCAAAAATCACGTGATGGGATCACGACATCTCCAGCTCGGCTTGCGTGATTGACTACGCCAGCCGAGGCCTAGTCCCTCCTTGGCACCGGTTCCGCCCTGTCGCTCAGGTGACCCGCTTGCCCTAAGCAGCGACCTGCTGCTGGGACACCATGACAACGAGAAGAATAAAACCGGAAGATCAAAACCTGATATTGATTTCTCAGTCAGCCGCAGTACCCGCGGAGATGTCAGTCAAGGTTTTCCTAGTAGTGTCAATTCGCCTAGTAAAAGACCTGTGTCACTCATCTCGAATAAGCAGTAGCCCGGGGAACGCTTGACAAACACCTAGTGCTAGTGTTGAGTCTGCCGACATCATCCAGGCGGTAACACTGAACAGCCACTCCGCGCACACATAGTACATCACGAACTCATCTGACTTGCGTCGGTCCGCTGTGGAACTATTCACGGCGTGATCGTATTTTAGTCCAGGGTCTCAGGGTCCGGGAGCGCGGGATGTGGCTTCTCTTAAAGAGCGGGAGGGGTTGCAGACGTATGCAATCCTTTCTTGTGGTGTAGCCAAGAATGACGATAATTGGAAGTAAATGATGCAATCAACTAGTATAGCCCTACACCGCATCGTCGGGCCACAACATCTGTCATGCATGAACCATAAGGCTGAGAGCCTTAACTGACTTCGATTCAGGGTCTATAAGCAGGCAAAATAGTAAATCTATGGCCCAAACCAAGCAAGTAGTCTTTTACGGTTTCGAGTGTCTGCGATCCTGCTGCTAGTCCTTTTTAAACAACCATCGCTCCCAACTGTCCAACAATCCAAGCGAGAAAGTAAGCGAGAAAGTGCACGATCCCTGGGGAAACAGTGGCACATAAGCCGCCCTTCCAAGAAATTCTTAAGCATATTGGAATCTAGAACGTAAACACCAACCCCATACTCTTACATAAAAGAAAATGGGGCAGAACAATCAACCTAGAATCTCTCGCACGAGAAGCAACAATCCCATTCTCCTGCCGCTGATAAGGTTGAACTGATTAGATTGATAAGATAAGATCGTTGCCCTGTCTGAATCCAAGATTGAAATGAAACACAACAGAAAACTTAAAATCTCTTCATATGCCAGGATTCTGGGACTATGAATCAAAAGCAAATTTGTTCATGTTCCAGAAGTATTAGTGATGTGGAAAATTCCTCCCTGGGAGGTGGGGAGTGCGAGTGAGTGAATGGCTTGACACTCATGATATCGCTAATTGCCCAAGTATATTGTGAAATTCCTTCTCCATTGAAGTAATGATTTATGTTTAGGATGAGTAAGAGAGGCACAATGGAATGTGTAGGAATGTGTAGGTATGTGTGGGAATTACATTTACCATTTTTCGCGGAAGGATTTCGACATGCGCCCGAAGCCCAGCGGGCTATTTACCAATTTACTAAATCTTCTAAATCATACTATTTTAATTCATGTTAGGTAATATTTTCAAAAAGCTCTGTTGCTGTTGGTCTATAAGCATAACAAGCAATTCTCAACGGCAGGCTGGGGTAATCTAGCCCACTGCACTATATCCGGAGGCGCTCAACGTAGTATCTATGGTCTTGGCAGGGTCTTGGTCATCTGCTGAGTATTTGTTGAGAATTGAAGGAATTCAATCAGTATATACAGAAGATCAATAGGCAGTTCCGGACGATCCGAATCAGCAAACTTTAAATCTTTCAACGGATTCATAGTAGCGAATTCACTTCCTATTCGGTTGGGTCGGGTGCGATATCGGATAGGGTTGAAGTTCGAACACCCCACCCCACAGTCCTACACTCCGCAAACCTACAGATAGGGTCCAATTCAAACTTAATGTGGGAAAAATAAGAAAAGTAGAATAAGATAGTCTAATCATTTGTATCATGCAAGTCATTAATGTACTTGGCTTGTAAGCCGTCTTTTGCAAATCACTGCCAATCTCCGCCAACCCTGTATGTACAGTATCTCCGATCGGAGTAGGATTGACGAGCGGCCTTTGAATTCCCAGATGTCATAAAACATAATCCTCCTTTTCCCATACCATGGGGTCTCTTTTTGAAACAAGAAAATCAACAAGGCTATGTAACTCCACTCCAGATAAAACTCCCAGGTCATAGAACGCCATTATAGATGCAAGGTGAGAAAGAAGACAAGCGGCCTTTACTGAGCAGACGTCGTCAAGGACGTCTGAAGAGCCTGCGATAGGGCCTCCTCTTGACGCTTACGCTCCATCTCCATAAGGAACTGAGCATACTTGGAGCGAGGGTTGTGGATACCGCACTCGGTCTTCTCCTGGCCCTTCCAGCGACCAGACCGCTCATCTTCGTTCTCCTTGACTGGCTGGGTGGAGTGGTAGTCACCAATGCTCTTGTAACCACGGTCGAGCAACTCGTTGTAGGGAACATCGTTTTCTTGGACGTATTGCTTGACCTGCTCGAAGGTCCAGTTGGCGAGAGGGTTGATCTTGATCAGGCCAGCCTCGTCAACCTCGATGACGTCGAGGTCACCACGCTTGCCACCCTGGCTGCGACGACGTCCAGTAAGGACAGCGTGAACATTGAGTTCGCGGTAGGCACGCTGGGCAGGCTCAACCTTGGCCACCCAGTCGTAGAACTGGTCGTCCTTCTCCCAGAGACGGGCACCGTACTTCTGAGCAAATTCTTCCTCGGTCTCGAGACCCTGAGGCTTGAAGACGTGGATGTTGACCAGAGGATACTTCTGGCGGACACGGTCGACCAGATCCAGAGTCTCTTTGAAGTGGTGGAGAGTGTCGAGGAAGATGAGATCAACCATCTGGGGCCGGGGCACGTCCAGCTTAGAGAGCATGTCCAGGGTCACAAGACCAGTGAGACCGAAAGCGGTGGTCTGGTAGAGGTGAGGCAGAGAGGTGACACACCATCTCAGGACGTCTGCATTTGTGTTAGTCAACTTGGCCTGGAGACGCGTGAGAGGGGCAACCCATGCTGACCTTGAGGCTCAAGAAACTGCAATTGTCTGTTGAGGAAGTTCAAGTGAGGCTTGGTGAAGACGATTTCTGGGGAGTAGTCATCACTAGAGCCACCACTGACATAGCCAGAGTCGGTGGCAGTGTCGGCAGCCTCATAGGCAGAGGGGTAGTTCTCAGATGTCTTCGCAGGCATGGTGAATGAGGAGTCGAATGACAGGGTATATGGTAGACAAGTCAATCCCAAGGACGAGCAGATGAAATACAAGCGGGTCTATATATAATGGCTCGACAGACTTGGAGGGATGACGGAAGGACTGGAACTGAAGTGGGAGGCAAGAGATGATGTAGACAGAACACAATGGAGACGACCTGACCAGTCCGATATAAAAGAAAGACAGGACAGGGGCAATCACGACATCATCGGGTCGGGGGCACCCGTTCTTCCTGCCCTCAGTCCCTCATACATGCCGGCTCATTCTGCCGTTTCTCGATCACGACATTGTCTGTGACCGCCTGCACAATTGGGCGACTGGGCTGAAAAATTTAATTTCCTCATGTCCTGGGGAAATCACGCAATACTTGCGCTTTGGGTGACTCTGCGCACCCGGACACGCCTAGCTCATCCACTGAAACAACCGCCGCAGGTGCCATTGCTGATAAATCCAGCATGGTCCACAGTGAAGTTGGAACAGTGAAGAACATGGGCGAAGGGCATCAAAGTTCATCCGGTCGGCAAGTCCGTGTAGCCGTTGCTCATCTTATCTTGATGATGGCATGGTATCCCTGTTCCGGTCTGTTTTCTGGCCCCAGAGAGGTGCAGATCTAGTTGATGATTAGCCTCGGACTGGAGGAGATGAATTGCTTAGAAAACAAACCCGGCTGATTTGAGTCAGACACTTGTAGATAACAAGATTTAGTGTCATTGTAATTGTCTTGGCGACTAGTCAGAATAGACCCTTATTTGTCATGCTAAACCGATGGTGGCAGTTGGAGTGTGCTTGCTCTGCTCCATGAATCCCCCCCTTCCCCAAAGATTGATATCATCGTCATCTCCATCTTTTCATGTTTCTTGGGGTGGGGAAGAAGTTGGCCTGGTTCTGCCGGGCGGTGAAGGCACATGACTCGGGCTCATGTGACCGAGGGGCACGGGATCCCCCACCACGTGCGGCCGATCGGAGCTGCAGGGGAAATTCGCCGTGAGTTCAAAGCCAGACTCTCGTTTTGACCTTGTCTAGACGCTCTCGTATCTCCCTTCTGCTTCCCGACTGCTCCAGCGTGTCGAGGGTTCTGTTCCCACCGGGTGGATTCGCTGTTGATTGCTGAGGATCGTCCGCTGCTTGCATACTCGCCCTTGTGCTATCAATCAATCTCCGTCTACCTCCGAATCCCACTTTCCACCCCTCACTCACTCAACTCTCCTCTCTCCTCTTTTGCGCCGAAAACTCTCTAGTCCGGCACAATGGCAGCGCCCAACCCCACCAACAACGGCCGTCCAACGCGCCCGGTCTTGCGACAGACCCTGTCCAGCGCATCCTTCATCCAGGATCATCAGCAGTACAAACCCTCTGCCCCCATTCAGACCATCGGCAACGTGATTGGCAATTCTCCCGAGTCAGCGTTTGCTGCGCTGTCCGTCAAAGCTAATCCCATTAGCCCCGATCCCGAGAAGGTCACCGACAGTGGCATCATCCACAGCATCTTCAACCAACAGTCCAATGAACTGCCTACTGGAACACAGCAGCTGGTCGCTACGATCTACTACAAATCTGCTGATCCTATCCATCCCCATCTGCACCCCGATTCCTCCCCTCATGTCGGATCTGGCCAAACTCTGCCATCACCCATGGTACCCGTAGGTTCCGCCCCGACGGTCGATATCGAGAAGATCCCACGGGAGCCTCCCGCCCCAGAGCCGGAGCCGCTTGATCATCTGTACGGCCCGTTTGTATCACAGCTCTGCCTGACCAACTTCCTTCAAATCATCGAAACCCTTCCGACCCCGTATCAGCGCACCAACACTTCGCATCGCTGCTTGGATCGTCACGACCAGCCTCGCGTCGTCGAAGTCACCTTCTCGCCTCCTCCCAACCCGGACTACCTTACCTTTGAGGACCTGCGGAAACATGAGAGCATATGGCGATTCGAGCGTGAATGGAATGTGGAGGTCGTCCTCCAGCGGGAGAGCGTCTTCCGTCGGCACAAGCGCTTGGTGGTGTTTGATATGGACAGTACATTGATTCAGAACGAGGTGATCGATGAGATTGCCAAGTACATCGGCGTGGAGAAGGAGGTTTCGGTTCGTACCTTCTTTGCATAACGATGGCAAGGCGCTGTATATACTGATGTTGATGGCAGGAAATTACGGCTCGTGCTATGAACGGCGAGTTGGACTTTTCCGCATCTCTCCGGGAGCGGGTCAGTCTGCTGAAGGGTGTTCCTGCGGACGTCTTCGAGAAGCTGAAGTCCGTCATCACCATTTCTCCAGGTGCGCGTGAGCTGTGCAAGGCCTTGAAGACCCTTGGCTGCAAAATGGCAGTCTTGAGTGGAGGCTTCCAGCCTCTTGCAGAGTGGCTTGCCGAACAGCTCGGTCTTGACTACGCGCATGCCAACCATGTATGTGATGCGACATCCGACCCATTGAAAATGTTTTGCAATTTCGCTTAAGTACTAATTGTCTGTTCAGCTCGAGATCGATCCTACGACGCAAACTTTGACCGGCAAGCTAGTCCCCACATATCCCATCATCGATGCGAGTCAGAAGCGCTCGATTCTTCACTCGATTGCCGCGGAGCATGGCATCCCTATCTCCCAAACTGTCGCTGTTGGTGACGGAGCCAATGACCTGCTCATGTTGCACGCAGCGGGACTGGGAGTCGCCTGGCGGGCCAAGAGCAAGGTGCAGCTCGAGGCACCGACTCGTCTCAATGGCGAGAGCCTCGTGGATATCCTCTACCTCCTTGGCCTGACCAAGGATGACATTTCCGAGCTGATTGCGTAGTTGAAGATGTGCTACCGAGCATCTATTACAGTGACCAAGGGATCAGTAGAAAGACACGAACACGTGCGTCTTCCACTAGTCAGCTCGGCGACAAGCATGCGGACATGTCGCCAGGTGCGTACTCTACTACTACTTCTCCAAACCGTTATTGGAGTCCTCCCGCGCACTATTGGATAGGTTCCTTTCTTTCCGTTTCATTCCCATATCATTTCCCTATCCATCTTTTTACACACACATCTATCTCTTTTTATCTCTCTTTGGCCCCCAGGTTTTGGATTTGGCATGTGTAGACAGACCAAGCCAAACACCAAAACCATCACGTCCCTTCCCTCACCCGCTTTTCCTTATCATGCGAATTCGAGAAGCCAAGCGGAAATAGTTTCATGCATTAGAACGATGAGCACGAGAGCGTTTACATGCGGGCGTCGGAGTAGGCAAGGAACAAACACGGGCAGGTACAAATACATACGACTACTATATGACGATGAGCTAGCTACATACTGGACAAATTCTGAATTGATTCGAACGAATTGCGAGATCATGATGATGGCTGATGCTGATGTTGACAAATATCCCCGTCTATCTCTATTTTACGTGAAATGGATGCCATACATGTTGAATTAGTATTTTTCTATCCACGACCCTGTAGTAGATGATTGAGACAGCCAGCCCATCCCGCTCATCCCGGGCCCAATTCCTAATGAATTCTAGCGATGCTAGTCGTAGTTGATAATGTGTGTGTAAGTAGACCAATTTTAAAACCAGAAGCTTGAAACAACCACAGTATAAGCCCCATTTAATGCAACCATGCGCCCATGAACCGAAAGACATACACAAGAAATCGTACACAGCTCGAAGAGAACAGGTTAAGCTAAATCTCAACGAGTAGCCTCATCAACAGCAGCAGCAACCTTCTTCTCAGTAACAGCATCACTAACCCCAGCGCGCCTCTTCTTCAAGACATTCTCAATGAACGCCTCACCAGCCTTGTAAGAACTGCGCACCAACGGTCCAGAAGCACAGTAGAGGAATCCCAACTCCTCAGCACGACGCTGCCAATGCTCGAACCACTTCGGATGAACATACTCATGCACAGCCATATGCCTCTTCGTCGGACGCATATACTGCCCGAAAGTGACGACATCAACATCAACAGCACGCAACTGCGCCAGCGCATGCTCCAACTGTTCCTCGGTTTCCCCAAGACCCAACATCAGCGACGACTTCGTAATAACCTCCGGATTGGCCTTCTTCGCCGCCCCCAACACAGCAATACTCTGCTTGAAGGTAGCTCTCCGATCACGAACACGGGGGGTAAGAGCCTCGACAGTCTCAATGTTATGCGCATACACATCCAGTCCCGAGTTAGCCACCAGCGCCACCATATCCAGATCACCGCGGTAGTCACCAGTCAGACATTCAACCAGGGTGCTAGGCGCCTTGGACTTAATCTTGCGCACGGTCTCAGCGAAATGGCGCGCACCGCCATCTGCAAGATCATCGCGATCCACACTCGTCAGCACCACATAACCCAATCCCCAGCGAGAGATCGCCTCGGCCGTGTTCTCCGGCTCATGGGGATCCAGCGCAGCGGGTCTCCGACTCGTCTTGACACTGCAGAAGCTGCAACCGCGGGTACAGGTATCGCCCATAAGCATGATGGTAGCGGTAGCGGCGGCTTTGTCGCCGCCGCCCCAGCAGTCGGAGATATTGGGACAGCGGGCTTCCTCGCAGACGGTGTGGAGGTTCAGACCGCGCAGGTCTTTCTTGAGGCGTTGGTAGTTCTTGGAGTCTGGGATGGGGGTTTTCAGCCAGGGTGGGAGACGGGTCATTTGCTTTTTGCGGCCGGCGGGGCCGACGAGGGCGGTTTCGAGGGCGTACGCTTCGGAGGGATCGAGAAGGGGTGCATTGTCGTTGTTGCCGGAGACGAAGTCGCCGAAGGATGGGCCGGCGTTGAGCTTGTCTGTGAATGCGGTGCGGCGGCGTGGTTTGGGAGTGCTGGTGGCGGAGGTGGAGGAGTCGGTTGTGGCGTAGGTGCGGGTTGTGAGGATGCTGGGAGTGGATTGAGGGAGGGAGGCCCTCGTGGAGGTGTAGAGGAGCCGTAGACGGTTTGTTGATGCGGCTGCCATGGTGTGTGTTTGGGGTGAGGAGAAGAGACAGGCGGCGGTGCTTTGGAGAAGTTGAAATGCAAGTTGGATTCCGCGGGAAAGTCGCTGATAGCCATCGGAGCTTCGGTTGCGATGCCGCCCGATTCATGACTCAGCGAACGTTTCTGCCTGAGGTGTCGATGATGTGATGACATATAGATGGTCCTGGAGTCCAGTCATTAGTTGCAGTAGACACTTTCTTTTATTCCTTTCAAGAACCAGCAGTGCTAGGTAGTGCTAGTATTATATCATATTGTTATGTCAATGGCTCGAGACTACAGTTCAACGTTTCGTAGTGAGGTGTAGTAGAATTGCAGTTATTATTATCAAGCGGTTAGATGTTTGAACAAGACAGACGATATAGCTGAAATTATGGCATATTCTGTTTCATCCTGGATAAATCCGGAAGAGCCCATTGTTGCAGCCATTCATATTCCATGATCTGCCCCGCAGATGGTCTCTTTTCCGGTTCGAAGGCAAGCATATCTCTCAACATAGTAAGAAATGCAGTCCTTTCGGCGTCCCCCATCGGTTGCATATTGAATTCTTCCCTCGGCTTCTGAACTGATTGGGTGAATCGTTGCACCCAGGGCCTTGAATTTGTAATACCATGTCTTGTTCCGTCCTCATTAAACCATTTTGACCGCGATTCCCATTTCTGCCACCACGGCAGTGGCAATTTGCCAAATGTATCAACATGTTCTTTCACTACCCAGTCGACTGACGGATTAAAGCCCTCGAGAAGTGGACGCTGACCGATTATTTCCCAGATGGTGCACGCAAGCGTCCAAATATCAGCAGAGAAAGAAAGTGACTTTTGCGGTTCAAAGTACGTCTCCGGGGGTACTAGCATACCCGACGTGTTGGAGTGATGCCGCGCTGTAGTGGCTGGCATGAAAGACTCCCCAAAGTCAGTGACAACTATCTGAGCTTCAGATAGCGAAACTTCTTCGCTCGCTTTTCCGAGCCAAACAGGCACGACAGCTTGTGCGGGAACACCATCAGGAAGTGGACGCTGATCTAGACAGGTAACTGGCTCATGGTGAGGCTGTCCATGCCTTTCGTAGAATTGCTCTGGTGAGAGCGAGTCCATACTCTCAGGAAGAAGGATCAGAATATTACCGGGATGAAGATCTGACATGACATGAGTGTAGGTATCACGATGAATAGCAAGTGTACTTACCAGCATGGACAATGCCCTGAGAATGAAGATATGCCACTGCCAAGACTACTTGAGCAGAGAAAGCCCTAGCCACAGGCAACTGGAACAGCCGGAAAGATGAGGCATCTTTGGCCTCAGCTAAATTCATCATTCCAACTGATGTGACAAAACATTGATGTACACCATTAGGCCCAGAAATGGTGAATTCATCTGTTATAGATGGAATGATTGCGCTGCCGGGATGAGCCTTGGCTTTCAACTCTGCAATACCAAGTCGATGGAGAATATTCCTTTCTTGGGAGTTAGTTGGATTGCAGTCTGCGATGGTGATTTTGACGGCGACATATTTTTCAGTTTTCTGATCTCTTGCCATCCAAATGGTTGAGTATGCGCCAAAGCCAAGCTTATGCACGATACGATACCGGTCATTCAACCATTCTCCTATAGTTGTTGGATGATAACCGCCTGGCCGGTACCGCTCAAATTTCTCAACATCCTCAATAGGCATGTACTCAATAGCATTCTTAACTGTATCGGAAGTGCCGTTGCCCTTCACAGATGTCATTCTACTGCCAAAAGCTGTGTATAATCTGGAATGTGGTATAATGCAGTGCTCGGTGCGGATAGGGAGGAAGGTAGACCCGGTATAATAAGGACGACTTTGCAGCACCTTCCGAAGACTGAAGCTTGAAACTAAATCTATGCGCATTGTAAAACGTAGATATGAACCAGATGATGGCCTTAGGAATCGATGGAACCTCCTGATTACTGCGCCAGGCTGCTGCAATTAGGACTTTGGCCGACCGGGAGGTTCCCGTAAGCAATTGCGCCAAGCACCATCAACACTGGCTTCTTGGTAATAAGGGAAGATTGCGGGGGTGGAGAAATTGAGGGAATGCGCGGAGGCAGAAGTAGAAAGAAAGGTTTATTCTATCATTCCTGCTAGTTTCCCCATTACATATAGGCCTACACGTGATCTGTCCTTCGGCCGTGGTTGGAAAACCCGCATTTGCTTAATATGAGACATTGACAGATGGACTGGAATGTAAAGAGAATATCATTGTATGTAGATCTCGGTGGAAAACGACTAGCTATTATACATTAGCCCTAGTAGCTAACTGCACGCAGTACATGAAACTTCAATCGCCATTAGGAAATACAAGAGGGAACAGGCCCCAGGCATGTAGTTTGACAGATAAGGAAATGTAAGTGAAGGACAGTTCATAGAATACACTGAAACGAAAGGCAGGGTTCTATGCAATCTGGTCTAGCCAATTTAGTAAGGAAAGATATGGTCACAGAGACAGGACTGGGATATAAGAACAGAAGGAAATAGTGGGAGAGAATAGACAAGGAGAGATAGGAAAGATATCTAAAGTGATTGACAGTCTCTCAAGGGGACTGATGTTGGGAAGTAAAGAATGGCTGCTCAGTTCTTAGTTTCAAGCACTTGAGCGAGGACAAATACGGCTGACTTGAGCGTCTCGTCTGCTTTGCCGCATATAGCAAAGAGTAGGTTATCCACTATCTGGTCCAGCTCTTTGCGAAGCTCCATGCTCCGGGACCCTAGGACACGTTCTTTGACACGAGACGAGGTAGCTGGACTAAACTGCATCCCTGGCGAGGTAGCTACCTTCTCTGGCACTGTATCTAGCCGGGACACGGGGGAGGGATGCGAGAAGTTGTTGATCCTTCGGTTGTTCGATGCCAGGGATACAACATAGTTCCGCGCGATCAAAGCGGCACATAGGCCGCCTAATAGGTTTTCCGCGACGCTTGGGAAGATGTCGCGGAAGGGTTTCAGGAGTGCCCGTTCGTTGTTGTGACGGATGAACATGATGACGGGTGAAGTTAAGCGAAGCATATTTCGTGGGAAGTCCTTCACTGAATGTTCCAATTGATCAATAGTCCATTCGTGATCCCACCACTTTTCTAACTCCTCCTTCTCCGACATGGTCGAGGAGCGCCCAGGTGATGCTTGGACCTGGGGTGATGTGCTAAATTTGGGTGGTCTCGCTAACTTGGGCGGAGACATCGGCTCAGGCGGAGCTGGCGTCGGTTTATTGCATACAATGGTCTCGCCGACGCTCTCTGAACTCATAGAGCCTGCATCAGTGTAGTCATCGTCGTCATCCTTATCGTTCCGGAGGTCATCGGGCGAGGGACACTCGGGATGAGTGATATATCCACTGTCAGACATCTCCATTGGAGTGTCCGGACTGAAAGCTGATACCTCCTGTTGTCCGAGATCCGGGGTAGATGGAACGGGCTGTGGCGGAGTTGGAAGCGAATAGCTCATTGCTGGAGATGACTGCCGGGAGATATCGACTAACTTGGGCTTTGTTTTCCTCGCAACGGTGCAGATCTGGAAAGTCGTCAGTACATGGTTTGAGTGTAAGCAAGTAACACTTACTTCGTGTTTATCAGATGGTGATGTCCTCAACCGTGGTGGGCTCTTCTGTACAATCTGGCATTTCCTTCGACTCTGTTCTCGAGTTCTCTCGCCCTGGGAGCCAGGCGTTTCCACAGGTGCGCCTTGAAGCCACTCACCACAGTAAGAGAGACTGCTAGGAACCCAGCTTCCCTCACTAGATACGGTTCCTGACCTGCTTCTCTGGGACCCCATTGACGACCCGGAAAAGTTCCGCCTCACAAATGTCTCGGAATCTGCAGAGGGGACGGGCGATGGCATGCATTCTGGATTGGGGGACGTTGCGATCACCGACGCATCAGCTGGCCGGCATTGCTTGACCAATATGGAGTGCGCCATATGTATATTGGTTGTCTCGTCGTGCGCCGAGGTTGTTGGGCGAGCCTCCTGCTTTCGAGCACCGCAATCATCACATGTTTCTTTTCCAGACACACAGGCGCAACCTTTTGGTGTAGCTGGGCCATAGTCTGATTCGGATTCGTATCTAGACGAGAAGTAGGCGGATGATGGGGACGATTGCGAGCCCAGAGAATCGGAAAGAGGAGGACTGGGGAGAAGGCCGAAGGAATCTATACTGGTGACGTTGATGTTTTGGTCCGAGCGCCAGGCTCGCAGTGTTTGGCCTCCAGACAATTGTCGCGACGATCTGGCTTCCTTTGCAGCTGATGCGATGCTTTCCAGCGACGGCGAAGACGGTAGGCGCAGTTGAAAGGGTTGTTTCATCCTGCGCACAGAGCGAAAGGGTGACATGACCACCGGCGGACGCTCCACCGGTCGACGTGGCTGCGGAGCTGTAGTATATTCGGCTTGGTCCATCCGGGGAGAAGTCGAGGGAACGAAAGAAAGGGAGCTCTGGGGCTGTTGCTGTCTCCTCCAGGGCTGAACATTGGGCGCATAACGCGGAGCAGCAACCCCATTCCCTTGGATCATGGCTTCGTCCGCTAATGAATTATAGGATGATACTCTCCTGGGTGCGAACGCTGGGACCTGGTTCGCAGACATGGTATGTTGATGACAGTTCCTATTTGGGTTAAGGAACACCCTGGCTGACTGGCAGTCAGTGGAGGACATGGCTGGCACGGTAAATGGTATATTGCAATCAGGCGACAATCGATTTCCTATGGTTACTCGGGACTAATGTGCAAAGAAAGAGAAAAAGAGCAGCATCAATTCTGATCGGGAAAGCGGCCGGCAGGGCCTTATACTACATAAAAATATGGGTTTCCAGGTATCCCTTGACTGCCTTGCGGTGACGGGGGAACTAGTCACTGGGCATGTGTACTCTCCCCCTTCGAGAGGGTCATCTAACACTCTGGAACATAGACGAAGAGTGAAGGGCGACCACACCCACCGTCCTTGCATACCAGAGAGAGGCGAGCGGAGATAGCGTGCACAGCCATTGGCTAGCACTCTCAATGCGCGCCACCTGCAGGGACAGCACAACGTGGGTGGTCCGTCTCCCAGGGTGCTTGGATCTCGTTAATTAGCAAAAGGAATGAGACATGCAGTTGGAGGGATGCGGGAGGAGCCTTGGGAGGGCATTCAAAGGACGTCACCGGTCTGATTTCAAGGCTCTCTGGTTAGTAGAGGCGTTGCGCCGGACAATCAGAGAAGAAGCCCCTAGAGGGACACCCCTTGCATGGGGTTGCTGTGGGCGCCGGCGATAGGCTCATGTTGATTGAGGGATAGGCGAAATTTAATTTAAGCAGCATGTGCAGGAATCCCAGCTTGACTGCGGCCGCGGAGATTTGAGTTGTATCATGATGGGCTTGAATACCACGGGAAGGCAAGCAAATTTCAATCTCCAGATGCGGTCTTCATGGTGGCTCAGTCAATCTGCTTCCGCTGAGAGTCCTATGATCGACAATGGATGGCTTGCTAGTGGCAACCAAGGGCTAGTGTTAGCTTCAATAGGTAAATCAGTCACAAAGGAGAGCAGGGGAACTAGGGAGCTGAAGACAGGGACAGCGAGGGTATCACTCCGTCAACCTGAACTGAGGGAGAGAAGGAGATGAAGCTTAATTAATGAAGGTTTATAGATCGTCTTGTTCGGGATTAACTAAGCATGCATACAGAGATGCACAATACTTCCTTATCGGGCACTTGCAGACAAACCATGCAAACATCCCGGTTATCGATTGGAGCCTCGATTTCCTCATTTTATTTTATTGCATTTTCGTGGATTTTGCGTCTCCAAAAAATTAAACGGCTCGTCGCATTCTCCCTGCCTCCTGCAAATTTGAACCTTCTGGGGTGGCAGTTCCTCATGCTTTCTGAATGTTTCATCGCATCGACGCTGGCGTCCAGCAAAGCGCCAGCGTCTGCGACCCTCCGCGATGTGGGAGTTTGCGTCCATGAATTCCAGCCCACGCTGAACCTGCGCTCCACCTTCAAGAAGAGCTCAACGGCGGCCAATTGCCTGGCCGTGAGTCCGTCGCATGTTTTTGCTGCGCAGTCCGAGAAAGCCATTGTGCATGTGTATAGCAGGGAGAAAGGCAACCAGGAAGCCACCGTTCCCTTCCCGGAGCGCATTCGCAGCATTGCTGTCGCCGGGGGCAAGAATGGCGATGTCCTGGTCTTGGGAACCGAAGGGGGCCGTTTGATTCTATGGGAGGTAAATCAATTGTTCACAGCCCCAATGGCGTCGCCAGCTATTCGTCATGGTTTCATACTAACAGCATGTGCTTTCTAGACATGCACCGGCCGACAAGTGGCTACGACAGCGTCGCATCTGCGGCCAGTGACCTCAATCGTGGTCGATCCCAATTCCAACTTCATCCTGTCGGGTTCGTCCGACGCCAGCATTCATGTTTGGTCGTTAGTGGATCTCTTATCCTTCACGAAACCTCCATCCGGCCGTGATCGTCAGCCTCCGAACTCTCCCATCCGTACCTTCTCCAACCACCGCGCCGCCATCACCGCCATCGCTGTGGGCCACAGCGCCGGTCGATACAACATTGCCGTGTCTGCTGCAGATGATAGCACAGCCATTGCCTGGGATTATCACACCGGCCGTCTCCTGCGCACCTTCCTCTTGCCGTCCAATGCGAAGTCGCTGGCACTTGACCCGGCCGACCGGGCTTTCTATGTCGGATACGAAGATGGCAGTATCCAGTCGATCGACTTCTACAAGAACCAGTCCATCCAGAACCCTCTCCACGATCCCTCCCTTCAGTCTACTCCCTCGCAACCTCCCGCAGAAGATCGTTGGGCACCGCCATCGGCTGATTGCGGCGCGGCGCATGCGCTCACCCTCTGCTACGATGGAATGACATTGCTCTCTGGCCATCAGAATGGCAAGGTTCTGTCATGGACGGTTGGAAGGAAGAAGTACGCCTCGACCGTGGCTGACTACACACATCCTGTCACCAACCTGTTTATGCTTCCTCCTAACGGTCTCCCTCATCCTTCCCTCGACCTTAAGCGGGTAGCACACACCATCGTCAAGCCCCGCTACGACTCTTCCCTGTCCGAAACCTCTCAAGCAGCTGGCGCCGTTCCAGCCGATTACACCTTTAGCACGCATCTCCTCCCCTCCATCTCATCCAAGTCCGACTCTGCTAAGCCCGACCAATTCACCGAAGCCTTCTCCCACGCGTACTTCCCTGAATCCATGCTGGAAGAAGGCCTCGCCGAACTAGCTGCCTTCAGCCAGCCCACTAGCAACGGAGCTCCAGTCTCCTCGATAGCACATGGCATCAGCGACGAAGACCTAGCGGCCAAGGACTCCCAAATATCCCAACTGGAGGCGGAACTCGCCACGCTGAAGAAAAAATCCTCTGTGAACGAGACCGCCCGCCAATCCACAACAGACGAAGTAACTAAGCTTCGCTCTGATCTCGCCAACCTGCACGATTATATCAACGAGCTTCACGAGAAACAAGAACAGGCGCAGCGGGAGAAGATCCTCCGACAGGCGCGGAAAGAAGAGCGGGAGACCCGCCGTCGGGAGGCCTGGTTCGCAGCCGAAAAGAAGGGCAAGAAGGGAGATGCGGTTCTCCGGAAGATGGACGCCGAGGATACCGTCATGACGAGCGATACGGATGATCAGAGCAGTGATGAGTAGACTCTTTTTCTCTATCCATTACTACTTTACAATTTAATTGCATGATCAACCACTATCGGACCCGCATTTCCCCTTTCTTACAGTACATCATTCGACAGGCGCAAAGGTCAGAACACAAAAAGTCTCAATGAAATGACAAATCACATGATGCATGTCTTTCCTACAAACTACTACTATGCTTGGATTGATAGACACACGGAGTCTTGTATTGTTTATAGACAAATGGGTAATAGATAAAAGTTTCACCAACACTTTACGCCATACTACTTACTTACTATGCTCATTACCACTGAGTTCTACCAGTACGTCTAGAAGACTAGTAACTGATTTAATACCCTACACAATAACAACCCGCCTCCCCCAAACCCCCAGGCTACAGCCACCCAAACCCAGAACCACCCGATGAAACACACAATATGTGCGCCCCCAACCCGCGGATGAAACGAAAGTGGCTGTCAAATGGTCGAAACGGAGGAATGTGGACTCGCAGGCCTCTGGTATGCATTATGTGGAGCCACACACTCACACACACAACCGTCCGTCCGTAATGCATCATGCGGGCTGGGGAACATTTCAAATTCATTTGACGTTGTACAACGTATGTGGTTACATTCCGCGCATGATATCTAAATAAATTAGCTTGATTATGGAAACTATGTGATATTGTTCATTGTGGGAAAGTATGTAATACGACAATAAGGATATTCATTTGCTTTGCTCCATTCCATGAGGTTTGAGGGTGTCTGGGCTACTTCATGTTCATAAGTGCTAGGAATTCTGAAGGGGAAAAGTTCGTTATTTGATGGCTGATAAGGTTACTGTGTACAGGTTTTTTCTAGCTTGGCAGATATGGGGGGTTTTTCAGCGTTGGGAATTTGCCATGGGCGTTGTCGTGGCAGGTGGTTTAGGGTTGTATGTGCGGAATCCAGTACGCCTGGTCCAGACGGTGGTGGTGGTGGCGGCGGCGGCAGTTGGACACTGGACTGATGGGTAGGGAAATAAAAAGACAGATAGGCGCAAGGTAAGGAATTTGATCTCCCACCTGGATTGAGCGCCTATCATGGGAGCTGGAAATATTAGCCGTCGTGATGATATCTGTATGTCTTCCTCGGCTGGTGGGTGCCATCAAACAGGCCGTGGAGACTCGTCAGCCCCATCCAAACGGCTTCCTCTGTGCGGATGGTTCTGCTTCCCTGTCCGGGTAGGAAGTTTACCCAGTAGTCGAAGAGTTTGTCGGCATCTGATGAGCGGATGGCCATGTCACGGAGTTGGGGATCGTTCCGGACTGCTGCCTCGATCCCAGCAACACCACCAAAGACGACGAGAATGTGCTGAAAGTCTGGAGGACGCTGTTCGCGATCAGGGGGGTGGTCTTGCTCGTAGCGATCGTGTGCTTGTTGGGGCTTCTCTTCTAGCACTGTGGAGATAGGCATACCACGCTCGGACGTGCCGAAGGATAGGTCATAGCCACCGTCATAAGTACACTCCGTGAAAACAGAGGAGAGAGACCGACATCGTCGCACATAGTAGCCCCAGTAATATCCCGCCTCAACACGAGGAGTGGATGAGTGTACGGGTTCTGCATACGGGAATCCATGCTGGGGAAATCGGACGGTTACTCGGGCATGTTCTGGAAGGTGGGTATTTGGGAGAATTATCTTCTGTGAGAGACCCGTGTCCACAATTGTGGCAGGGCCATTGTTAGTAGAGCTGTTACGATGGTGGAACTGATGATCATTGCTCCTCTGAGTGATCTTGCTGGCCGAATGTTTGTTTCGCGCTGAGTATCGGTCAGGACTAGAAACAACAATGCCTTCACGGAAGTCGCACCACTCATGAGCACGCAAGTGATGGGGCATATCCAAGCTGGGTAGCAATCCAGCTGTGCGAAGATTGGAATGGATAGGAAAGAGGTGTTTGCGCAAGTATGGTGGAGTCTCGAGGTACGACAGAATATGAGTCAGGAAGTGTGAAGGGTCCGAATACGCGGTATAGGCTTTGGGAGAGGATGCACTGCCATCAGTTGGGTTTCTAATCTTGGCAATGTGTGAGCTATAGTGATCTTCATGCTCATGATAGTTATAGTCTGCACCATTTTCATCATCGTCAAAGACCACCACTTCGTCGACGCAGAAAACGGCGAGTGCGCGTGCGATCACACCGGCTAGGAGGGTCTTTTGCTCGACAGAGTGCGCGCTGTACAGCAGATGTTAGTGGTTGACTACATCAGCAGCCCCTAGGGAGCATTGATCGAGGGGATTTTACTTGGCTATGATGCTGCCCGGAATGGCAACGCTGAGAGTATGCGATCGGCCACCCTTGGGGGTGAAGACGGCCGAGGGCTTTTCGGTGAACAGGGAATTGGTTGTGCCATTGTGGTGCGACGGAAGACTATCTTCGTGGGTAGTCTTGCGTCTCTACAAGGACAAAGCATTCTCAAGTCAGACACTGTTATTACAAGGAGGTGTAAGCTGTCATTGACGTACCTTATAGTTGGGACGGCGCATCGCAGGGCAGCAGGAGGGAGCAGAGAGCGATGAAGAAGGATGAGAAGGGGATGTGGAGGACGGAAAAGGGACTTTCAGGGACGAACGCTTCTTCATTCGACGAGACTAAGGATCCTTTCGTGGAGCAGGGGATGGCCCAAACAACACATAGTGGACTAGTTCGAAGGCTTTGGTTGACCGATCACACTTCCTGACGATGACGTTGAGCTCCACTGTCACCACCAACGTTAAGTCAACATCCTGACGAGGTTACTCTGTAGTAATTGCTCAACTCAAACTATAGATGCTCCTTAAGAAAAGCACTCTCCAGGAACCTATCTAGAAACTCGGATACATTTTCTGTTCAGTAACCACTTCCACTACCACTACTAGCAATTCCCGTCGTCTCCTCCTGCATGATCTTCACCCCCGAACTGCTCCCAATACGTGCCGCTCCTGCTTGCAACATCTTGCGACAGTCCTCTGCTGACCGTACTCCTCCACTGGCCTTGACCTTGGTGCCCTTCCCAACCAGATTGGCCGTCTCTCGCATAAGAGCAACGTTCTCCAAGTTCGCGCCGGGCCCATTGAACCCAGTACTAGTCTTGATGTAATCCGCTCCAGCTACACACGCCAGCACCGAGCCCGCTATGATCTGCTCGCGGGTCAACTGAGACGTCTCCAAGATGACTTTGAGCCCAACGGGTGCCGGGGCTGCTTTGCGCACTTCCAGCACGTCCGCATAGACATCCTGGTACTTCCCCTCTTGTAGAAGAGGGTAGTTGAGCACCATGTCGAGCTCAGACGCTCCCAGATTCACTGCCTCCTTCGCTTCAGCTGTCTTCTCATCTGTCTTGTAAGTTCCCTCATGGAACCCAACCACACAGGCTACGCCGACAGCCGGATGCGCTTTCAGGTTCTGGACTGCTCGAGACACATGGTTCAGTCGGACGCAGACTGTCGCGAATTGGTGCTGGATGGCTTCCTGACAGAGGTCGTCGATCTGTTGCTCCGTTGCTGTCAAGGCTAGCTGGGTGTGGTCTATGGTACGATTGATTTCAGATGAAATGTCATATGATGGGAAGGTCGTATGGAGTGATTGTTGGACGCTGGAGATCAGCGTCGCCCATTCGGCGTCGGTTTGTGGTGTAGTCATGGTGTGATAATGGACCTGATGATTGTGGCCTTATCAATAACTTTGATATCGTATGAACAATCACAGCAACCAAGATGCAATGAACTTGACGTAAAAGAGGAAATAGATTAAAGAACTAGCTGGGTCTGGAAAGTACTGAAACTCAGATGATTTCCCGGCACCGGCCCCTCTTTTGCGGGGCATTGGCATTTCCCCATGAATTTACCCATGGGAATCAACGGCGTTGTTGATCACCACTGGATCGGGCCTAAAATATCACAACTTACAACTACACAAAGCATCATACATGACTCTTCTATAAGCCATACCAATTACCTACACATCCCATCTACCACAGAAGAATCCAATCACAACAACTCCATTCCATTGTTCCAATCCATAATATAATCAATAAAGAGCGCCCTATCAAACTCCCATCCCTTCAATCCCACCATATCTCGTTTTCCAAGCCCCCTTAAAGACAGCACCCCCAGATCAACCACAGCTCTTACACTCCGGCCCACGAATATCATCTACCCGACCGATCCTCGGTCCACCACCACCACCACCGCCGCCGCCGCCCGGTCCCCAGGATCCGCCTCCACCTCCACCTCCACTGCCCCAGCGAGCGCGAGTATTGGGAGTCTTTCCTGACTGAGTAACGTTGAATCGGGAGTTTTGGGCTGCGGTGTAGGGGTCCAGCTAGATCATGACATGTACCCGTTAGTATAGGGTTCGGCTGGATGGGTATCCAACTTGGAGTATGAATGTAGGTGTAGTGCATACCGAGAATAGGCTGACGATGTATAATCCGAGGAAGAGGTAGATGTTCTCGACGAAGCGGATGATTCGGACTGTGATGGGGGGACTGGACGGAGGATGGAACTGTCAGTCATGGCTTTTGTAGATAGTGAGGTGTTATCATGGATGGATGGGGATTTACCTTGCGAGAACGCGTCCCCCAGACACGTAGGTCTTTGGTTCGGATGCCATGCTTGAGTCGGTTTGGGGGTTGGTACAGGAAGAAGACGATGGGAGGCGATGCGATGCGCCAGATAGCGAGCTTGCTGGATGAGGTTTAGCGCCTTTAATGGGGACAGTGTATTTCCTTATTTGGTCTAGTGCATAGAGACCCTTAGATGACATCAGCTTTTATACAACTTGAGACAGGGTTTAATGTTGATTTTCCCCTGTAGCTAAAACAACTGCTACATACAGATGAAACTTATCTATTTATGGATTGCTGAGAGCTACAGGTAATGTGACTATTCGTGGTAGACTGCGCAGCGAATATCACACAGGTGTCAAGCGTCAGTACCGCTCGTTGGTACTACTTCCGTCTGAGTATATGGCATGGATTCCTTTGAAAGCTTTGATGCAGCGGTTCCAGCCAGCTCTTGGATAGAAGAACCCCCGATAATCTGCAGCACAGGAAGGTCAACAGACAGCTCCCTAACGAACCAATGCCGCAGCTCGATAGCCACCAGAGAGTCTACCCCCATCTCGGTCAATGTAGATGCTCCAGTAAGCGATTCCTCGGCGGATAGTTGCAGCCTGGAGCGCACTTCCTTGATAAACCCTTCAGTTATTATATCCGTGGCTTCGCCAGTGCTCTTTGGCAGCTCGAGTTGCTTCCTTATCGGAACATTCTCGTTAGTACCGGATGCAGATGTGGTCGGGTTAGCCGCATGGCTAATGAGATGCCACGCCTTCGGATTTCGCAACCATAACGCGTTCGAGTTCTCTTCAGCGTTTATTACCTGGTAGCCAGCAATTACTTCAGGATTATTGCTAGAACCTGGGTGTCCTGCAAGGACACCCTCTGCGAAGAGCTCATGCAGGTCTTGCTCACTGAAGTTTGAAGCACCAGTGTTCCGCTCGATCATGTTCTGAACTGCACTGTCTGCTCTTGCAAAATACCCTACCCCTTTAATCAAGCCTGGATGAATAATGCTGCCGACTAGGCCTTGTTCGTGCCGCTGTTTGATAAGCGCTGACATGAATTCTGTGGCGGCTGAATATGCTGTCTGGCCAACATTACCCAGCGGCCCAGCAGCTGATCCAAATAGAATAAAAAATTCTAGGTCCAGGTCACCAAAAACCTCGCTCAGGATAATACTGCCTTGAACTTTTGGGGCCATGACGCTCTGTATATTCTCTAGCGTCGTTTGAGCAAAGAGGCAGTCCTTGAGCACCATCGCTCCGTTGGCTACTCCCCCAATCGGAGGTAGTGATCCACGTATAGAAGCATAGACACGGCACACAGATTCTCGGTTGGTGACATCACTGTTACAGATTATCAATATTTGCCTCGACATACTGTCAGGATAGACACTTACATTGCCATTGGAACAACTCGAGCACCCAGTCTTTCCATCTCCAAAATCCACTGCGCATCAACATTGGGGGAACGGCTGCCAAGGACCACAGTTCGGGCTCCTTTACTGACCATCCACTGGCAGACGGATCTTCCAAGATCACCAGTCATCCCGACAAGCAAGTATGTCTTTTGTGGGGTTAGTGTGATCATGGAGCTTGCTGTTTGAATTTGGATATGGACTTGGCCTGGCTGGGTCCAATCCACGATCTCCAACTGATTCATTCCCGGCGAAGCACCCTGCAAGTTTTGAACAGAGACAAGCGGAAATTCTTCCTGCAAGGTAGCCGTTTGTAGCGCAAACGCACAGGCTGCGAGAAATGTTTGCCCAACGGTGATCGGACTAGCAGGCCGCAATGATTTTGACGACGTTCTGCTCAAACTCGAGATATCAACTTGCACAACATCCTCGGGCAGGAGAGATATGATTCGATCGTAAACACTGCTCGCACCTTGAGTACAGCCGACAATGACAGAAATGTCTTTCGGCAAAAGGCGAGATAAAGTACGAGAAGAGCTTCTCTCGTGAATATACAGCACACCAGTCTTTGGCACTGCGGCTTGGACATTGGTCACAAACAATACCCGAACATTTCGTGCAAGAGCGAAGGCTGAGACAGCATCACACACAACCTTGCATAAAGTTTCAGCCTTATAGATCATGATCATTGTGTCGGGAAGCCCTTTGTCGACGATATAAGTGGCCAACAGGGCAGCAGCTGTTCGCATCAAGACAGTAGCTTCTAGGCACTCAGGAACGCTGTCTGGGAGCCGCCAGCACCACCTGAGTGGTGCCACAATAGTTGATGCATGTTGCTCTGATAGTGCCAGCCAACGTGTATTATCATTTCCATCTCGACCGATGACTAAATGCAGAAATCCAGCGCCTTCCACCTTATAGGCAGTTGTTGTCGAAAAATGTACAATAAGCCGACGATGGGTCGCAGCATTGCGATCTTCCTCTTGCCTGGATTGCAGGCTTTCGCGCAGTATGAACTCAGTGCGTGTGGCTGACGGGGTAACAATCTGTACCGTGGAATCTTGCAGGTCAACCAAGCCATTGACCGTGCGATGGCTTGCAAAATACCGTTGATTCCTAGTGTCGTCAAACTGGATTCGCGGAATATGCAGCACCCCATTCACAAGCCGTAGCTCGAATTCTGTACTATGCAGGCAGACATCCAGGCCATCATTGTTGTCCTTAGGTGTATGGACCAACTGCATGAAAATATCGGCAAGAGTAGGAGCGGTGACCTCTTGATGGTTAGGTATATTCAGGTACTGAAAGATAGACTGGGGATTCTCATAGGCGAGGCAGTGAACAGTAGCCCTACTCATGCTCAAGTAGGGCTGTTTGCTCTCTGGGCCACTCGTAACCCAAAGAAGCCTGCTGGCGCTGTTCATCACCACCTTGAGGTTGCTGAGACATTGGGCTGTGATATTCTCGTAGCAAGGCGAATCTAAATCGGTCAGATTCAAAACCCACCAGCCATATATGTCATCCAAATCTAGTACATCGAGACTTTGTACAAGGATTACTTGACGGAAGCATGGTCTGAGTAAGACTTCTAAAGCCGATACCATATCCAATGTTGCTCCCGTCGCTCCACCGATGAGGAGTAGACTATCAGATAGTGTTCCCCTCCATTTCCAGGGTTCGTGGAGCAGTTGGATATGATCATCGATTGCCTGCGTGACAAAGGTCGATTCATATCCAAACCGACCAGCCGACGACACCGCTTCGAGTCCTCCAAAACCAGTCTTCTTGAGCAGCAGATCCCATTTTTGGAGGCTAACCATCGGGCTTTGAGGGCTTCCGTTCTCATCGGTCCACCACTTCTTGAAAGAGCTGACTATCAGCCCAAGGCGATTGATATTCGTGTTGGTGCCGGTACGAACGACCAAATATCCACCGGGCTTGAGCAGCTGTCGAATGTGTTTCAAGGTCTGCACCAGACTTTCAGCACACCAAATCAGATCAGCTGCGATGATAAGATCATATGAGTGCTCTCTGAAGCCTTGCTGGACGGGATCTGACAAAATATCAAGCGCCTGGTAGACAATCCGATCTTTGTGTTGAGCAAGTCTTTCTCGTACATCCGCAAAGGATGTTGGAGAGTAATTAGTGAAAGTATAGGATTGATATGAACGTTTTATTTCCCTCAAAATCGATTCCGTGGCCAACCCCCTTTCTGCATTGAGCTCAAGTATTTTCATATGAGGGTAGCGGAAAGCGATCTGACTAACGAGCACTGCAAGCTGCGAACGGCTGCGGTTGTTTTCAAACGCATCCTTATATATCCCATCCAACTTGCCTTTCTGACAAGGAAGCTCGATCATTTTGCTTCTCCCTCTGAGGAATTCCGACAAATTATCACCTGCTATCCGAAGCTGATCCCAGGGATCGCTACCTATGCGTGCCGTATTCGTAGCTTTGTCGAGAGCATCTTCCAGGGTGTCGTCTAGCCAATCTGGACGACATATCGGATGGGAGCCGTCGTGTGTTGTACAGAGAACCTGATCCATCCACTGCAAGACGCTAGACCGGTGTTGGTCAAGGTTTTTGCATTCCTCTGCGGAAAGCTGCCTCCGTGCATCTCTCATATACAAAAGAGCGCAGCGTTCCACCCACTGAATCTCTTCTGTGTTCTGACAATCCTGATATACGCTTTTGGAAACAGCTTGTGGCAGCAACGGGCCCCAGACAATCTTGGAAAAGATGCCACGATCCTCGGGAGTTGAAATCGGAGCCACATGGAAGCCCTCAATTTGGTAGACCCCGTGGCCGTCAGGGTCAAATACATTGATATCCCCTGTCATGCCATCTGGGCTGCCACTGTCGAGGAAAGCTTCAACAGCAAGCTCAGTCATGGCCTCCACTGAGCTGGGCTTGCACAACTGCGGGTTAATTGCGATGTGCTCAATGGACACAGGGACATGTAGTGCGTGGACTTCATCGATGTTCCTCGCCGCTAACAAGGCCTGCAAGCTGGAGTCAATGATAGCTGGATGTAGCAGCAAAGACGAGCCCAGCTCGGTCCCTGAAACTATGCCCGTCGACCTACTCGCTTGTCTAGTAAGAGCCTTCAGCCCTTGGAAGGGACCGTTGTAACCGAGACCAAGACTTTTCAGAGATGCGTAGAATTCAGTTATGTCCATTGACTGAGAAATAGCTGGTATAGACGATCTAGGGGGCAAAGACATAGCATCTTGTTCCCCAAACGACACAGTCAGTTCTCCAGAGGCGCATGTCTTTAGTTTCCCAGCAATACTAGCGTAGCACTGGAAGGCTGCAATGATGACATTGCTTTCTGATTTCGTAACGCCTAATTTCGAGATTATCTCCACACCCTGTGGATCGTCAGGAATAGGAACAGCACAGTGGATGCGCACATCATCGAATTCCACCAACCGCAGAGGTTGGCCACGTGCGGCTTTTGCAGCTGCTTCCAATGCCATTGATATGTATCCGGCCGCAGGGAACACAGTCTGAGATTGAACCTGATGGTCATTAAGCCATCCGAGTTCTGTCCGGCTTAAGTAGTTGCGCCAGCGCCATTCGTCCTCGCCTGTTTCAGGGCTGAGAGTCCCCAAAAGAGGGTGTGGGAGATCAGAGT